CGGCCTGCGGAGAGGGAGGTCTCCCAAGGGAGCAGCCCCGGTGCCGGTAGAGGTGGCCCCCTCCTCACGGGAAATGAGTGGAGTGGGATCCCTGTCAGAATACTCTAGTTAAGGTGTGCGCTGCAAAACTTATTGAAAAATATTCTCTTTTAGCCCTTTAGGTGCTTTGGGCGTGATAAATTTAACTTCTACACACTAGTGGTTCTACTGCCATGTTACAGTATTGTACAAACTTGCTAATGAAAGTTAAGTGACAAATATAGGGCCTTTTAATATATGTGTACAAGTAGAGCATTGGTGAGTGGTTTGTTTCATGCACAAATGTGTATTTGCAAATACATATCTGTCTTACAGATCTAGGACAAAACTTGGTACTTTTCATGAATTCACCAAAACTTCAGAAATTACAGTCATTCAGTTGAAAATAGGCCTTCATTTCTGAAACATAAAATACTTTAGTTTTTCAGTGAGGTTTCTAGGCATTGCTTTGGATTTCCTTTTGTTGCTTGCAGACTGGGGGCAGTAAAGGCTATGGATTTATTGAGTTTGAATCTGACGATGTGGCCAAAATTGTTGCGGACACAATGAACAACTACCTGTTCAGTGAAAGACTTCTGAAGTGTAAGTATGACCCAAGGTGTAAATTTTCTGATGTGCAAAGGAAGTTTATACTTACTTGTGTTATTTTTTTGGATTATTTGAAGCTTCATGTTTCTGCACAAAGCTTCAGCCTGAAAAAATTTTGTGTGTGGCTGAAACTTTCTTGCTTTTCTTCATGTGTAAAGAATAGCAGTAGCAATCTCTTATTCACTATTATTGTTTTTTTTTTTTCTTATTGTATAATAACACCATACGGAATCATAGTGAGGGGAGATATTTTCTGTAGAGCAATTCCAACTCATTTAGTGCAGAAATTATTTTTAATTTATAACTCTTACAGCTGCTCTCAATGCAGTTAAATGCCAGATATTTTTCAGCTGGAAGACTAACGAACACATTTTTCAGGCAGTGATGCTAAAAATTCCGTTCTAAAGCAGTGTGAGTTATATATGCTCACCAACTTGAGAAAAACAGGTTTATTTTTTGACCGTTTTCTGGATTAAAATAAAAAGTGATTTTTTTTTCCCCCCCGCCTATTCATCTATTTTCAATAGTGTCATTAATAACTATTTGCTTTACGGTCTTTGGTAAAATGCCGATTAGTGCCTTGCTGTAGATTGAATAATGCTGGGATAAGAACCGAGTGCGTTTGGTGGGAGGAGTAGCTTTGCTCTGACGTTAAATGCTCTTGAGGCAGGCCAGTTCATACCTCCTGAGAGGGTTCACAAAAACCTCTTCAAGGACTGCGACAGGAAGTTCCGGAAGCCTTCGCAGCCCGCGGTCGGGCGCTACAACAAGATACGTTCTGCCAACGAGAAGGCCAAGATGGCCAAGCGGCTGCTCCGGAAGGAGAGGCTCTTGCGGAAGAGGCTGGCTGAAAAGGGGCTCGATTATGACTTCCCAGGATTTGTAAGTTTGGGATCATTTTAATGAGTGTTTAAGCAAAGCTTGTTTTTTCGATGGACTTGCTAAATGTGAGAAAATCACGTGGTTTGTGTGTAGCTATGTGAGAATATTATTGTACCTGGAGTAGTAGGGAGAGTTCTTTTGTAAAAACCCTTGGAAATTACAGCGTAGTGTTGATGGGTAGTGTCTGGGAATACGTGGGTTGGCTTTTAGAGAGGTACCTTGCCTATGCTAATCAAGCATATTGCTAATTTGTGGAGGGCTTGGATTATAGACCTATGATTTGAGCAACACTGTTTCCCTTTGTAGTATTTGAAAAATGCCCACTGGCAGCTTTTCGTATGTTATTGCAGATGTTTTTGTTTAAACCAAGTAGCCTCTGTATAGGCCATTTTTATTAATTCAAATTAATTGCTGAAGCAAGCAAGTCTACAGGCTGTTAGGTGACACTGTCTTGACGTGTGGAAGTCTGTCGGATTTCACCTGATCTCTCTTGCTTCCTAGGCAGCACAAAAACTTCACATAAAGAAAAAGAAAGTTAAAAAATCCAAACCAAAGCTGGATGTTTCCTTGAACAGCCAGGTAAGACTGAACAGTCCTTGTGATTAAGTTCATTCCCTGGAAACCTGGACATCGTTTTCTTGGAGTTGTCCTTTGCATTGGTAACAGCTGCTTTGAGGTGCATGAACGGGAGATGGTGGTTGAATCCACTTGGATTCCTTGCCTTTAACAAACAATTAATATTTCAGCAGCAAATGCTTCTGTTAAGCATGTTTTTACTGTCAGATGATTAAGTTCATTCCCTGGAAACCTGGACATTATTTTCTTGGAGTTGTCCTTTGCATTGGTAACAGCTGCTTTGAGGTGCATGAACGGGAGATGGTGGTTGAATCCGCTTGGATTCCTTGCCTTTAACAAGCAATTAATATTTCAGCAGCAAATGCTCTGTTAAGCATATTTTTACTGTCAGGGTGGTCACTAAAACTCATATTGGTGGTAGGAAAGATCAGGGCTTTAGGCTAAGATTTGAGATACCAATAATCTAAAGAGTCTGTAAACTTTTTTCTTGAATACATTTGCAGTGCTTGGGAAAGGACTGATTTTGAGAATACGAGGTAGCGCTCTCTGTGGGCTTGTATGTGAGATCAGCTGAGTTCTGGGAGTTTACTGATAAGTTGGGATGCTTTAACTCTGCTGTAGGCTTGAAATGCGCCGTTTCTGTATGCCAGTCTGAAATATATATATTTAGCTATTTTCCTCTTGACTTTGTGCTGTGAGTCAGAAAATATGCACAGTGATTTTTCTAAATGTGGTAATAGCACTTCAGAAAATATGACTTCACTTGTATTTGCCCTTTGACTTTTAATCTGAAGAAATGCTGTGTAGAAAAGTAGCTATTCAGCTATAAAAACAAAACAATTTTCCTTTAAGTGTGGAAGTTCTGATGGAGAGCTGGGCTCAGGTGCCTTGTGGTACCAGACAGATGATGATCACTTTCTCTGGCAGATGCTCTAATTCAATTTTGGTTTTCCGGTCTCTTTAGGATCCTACGCCGGTCTGTACTCCTACAGTGCTTGAGCGCCGGAAAGCTCACGAGGCAGATGATGACACAGAGGACAATGAAATAACTGTCAAACTGCCCCCCAGTAGTGTTGAGAATGCTGTGGAGAGACCAAAGAAACAGAAAAGAAAAAAAACAAACCTGAAGAAACAGAAATAAACTTGAAAGATAAAATGTCTGTAACTAAGTTTTTCCTCAACTCCAAAGCTGGTGAGGGGGAGCTTCTGTTGGTTCTGCTGATGTGTCTCAGTTCATCTGACTGGACTGTGATGCTCCATCCTTTCAAGGAATTTGTTCCCCTCCTGTTTAGCTATTGGAAGCTACACGTTTTCTTGACTTTACTCTCGTGCTAGTGTTTTGACCTGCCTGTTGGGACCTTCAGTTAATTCTGTAACTTCTCTAGTGCTCACTGCTTTGCGAGATATGAGGCTGTCTGTGCAGGGATTGCTGATGGGATTGTATTTTATACTAATAATTAGTTACAGTCTATAAAAAGGTTTTCTTTTTTTATCCTGTTTTGTGTTGGTTTTTGGTAGTGTTTCTTCTATTTAACTAAATATGTGTTTATATGTGAATTCTCACATAGGTACAAAGGTGGAGGGGTATTTTTCTCCCTGAAGGAAAACATACCTCAATTTCTCTTTGCGGTAAGTCAGGATCTCCCTGCACAGTCCTGGGCAGAGGCAGAATACTGCACTGCTCCCTAGCCACATGGGCACTCATCCCTGCCTTCAGTGCCTGAGCAGCCCAGCCTGTGGTGGGATTTGGGGTGTCTGTGGAGGACTTACTGGGACTGAGCCTAGGAAGGTGGTGAGAAGAGAGAGAAGATGGCTGAGGTGTCACTTGAATCCAGGATCCAAATTTCTTTCTCGAAGCAGGCAAATTTCATTTTGTCTGACAGTGTTCTCAGATACTGAAGGTGTGGGTGAGGTTTATTCTATTGCTAGTGTCTTAGCCAGAGTCACAGCTACCCTTTCGTTTCTCACATGTTCCTGAAAGAAGCACTTCCCTCAGCAGAAGCCTGAGGCTGACGTCTGACACGCTGCTCTACCTCTGATCTGACCAGGCAAAGATTACTTACTAATTCTCTGGCATTATGTGTACCATAAACTTGCTGTTATCTGAGTTGGAAAATTTGCAAGGAACTTGAGTTAAAGATGCAGATTTAAAACCTGGTACTTCTCATTTGCTGTTTCCTGTAAGCGTCCTACAGTGCTGCCAAGTTTGCTGCCTTTCTAGGGTCTTTTTGCAGGGCTGTGGAGCGGAGCCAGTGGTCATGGCAACCTTATATCTAACAGCCCTCAGGCTGAGCAAAGTTCTGCGCTACTGTGAGAAGATGCATCGGTACTTGGAGCAGCCTGGGCTGTAGCAGCATTTCATCCATGTATCCTAGTTTCACTCTCCGCAGAACAAGGATAACTTCTGCTTCAGGAGGTGCCAAGCACCTCACAACATGTGAGTAATCTTCTATCCACTGGATGGGTGAGCTAGGATGGGCAGGCAGCTTTGTGACACTGATAGTACGAGATCAGAGAGCTAAATGTAGTTCTTTTATTGTGCAGCAAGATTTTTCCCTGTTCCAAATTAACCTGCCATAGCTGTGTCAGCTCATTGAGCTGAGTACATCAGCCTCAAGATGTTAATCGTGCCCATGTGAACTGGTTACCTGCATGTCCAAACTAAACCCTACAGAGCTGCCTTTTACTCCTTGGAGTTAGCATAGTAGCTGGAAATGCTTTTTAGAATTTTTTTTCTACAATAGACATTTTTATCTTTTCTGAAATTTTCACTGTGAGAAGCTGTTGCAGAACTAGCCTTGTGTTCTGTCCTCCTGGAAAAGCTGTTAGTATTGGTTACTAGTCAGGGAACATGACCTTTCTTTAAAGGATCCTGAGATAATGAAGAAATATGTGGGAGGCAGCCTTAATAGCCAGTAGCACAGTAGCCTGAAGCACATAGAAATTGCAGTCTGAGTTCTGGGGAATGTGCTTAGGTCAGACTTGGCAAAAGACTTCAGAGAAATGTCTAGGCCCTAACAACTAGCTGCTTAAGTAGGTGGCCAGCACTAAATTCTGGCTATTCTGAGACTTGAATTCTGGAGAGAGGAAGAAATTTGATCCGTTTGTTGGTTGATTCTGTCCTGTGCGGCCCGATGGTTTGAGCAGTCATACTCATAATGACATTTGCAAGTGACTCGGATTATTTTCCTTTGTCACTGAACTGTCAGGGAAGCCATCAAAGTGACTTCCTGAATGTGCCTTTATATCAAACACTGGCCACCTTGGGCATGTTAGGGAAACATCTTGACCAGCCATCTGCAGGGTTTCTTCTTTTCTCATTGTAAACTTGGCACAAAGCAGACAGTGTTCATACTTCAGACGTGTGTAGAATACGTCCGTAGTTAAGTTCTGGAGGGGCTTTTGACAGTAATCCGATCGGAGAGGTTCAAAGAAATATTACCAGACATTGCTTATCTGTTAGTAACCGAGGAATCTGAAATGTGGATTCGTTTTGCTTCTCAGACACTGACATCCAGCTCTGGAGAAATTTTGCTGTAGCTCCTTTGTACAGCAGAGTGACACAACAGGAACACAGCACATGTGCCCAGAAGGGACAGTTTTTTCTTTCCTAACCTTATAATAATAATGCATATTCCTAACCTTATGCAAGTAAAGATGGCTGTTAGATCCAAACCAAAAAGAAATGTGGCCATGCTTTCGCCATCCCTCTCTGTTGAAGGCAGTCCAACGCTGGGTGGCAGCACACTTCACTTATGTGCGCACACAACAATTTTTGTGCCCTCTTTCAGCAGAAGGTTACGTGGGAAGTGGCTTCCTGGATTCATAGACCACGTTGCTTCACTGGTGTCTCAGAGATACCAGTTGCTAGTGGGTCTTTAGGACAATATGAAAATACATGAAGAATCTGTTTTGGCTCTTAACAAATCTGCATGTTTCTGTGGTGCCAGTAAGATACGTGCTCCTGATGAGGTCACTTGATTTAAAGCTGCTCTTAAGATACACTTGATAAAATACACTTATCCAGTCAAATTTTGCTGTCATTAGTGTGAACAGCTCCCTTCCAGTGCTTCCTGTTTCAACTCCCTGCCCTGCCTTTCCTGCTCCCCTGCTTCTGTGACTGTGCTCTCCTCTGTGCCTTGCACTCTGCCTTTGCTTGCTGTGCCTGCTTGCTGTGCCTACTTGCTGTGTTTTTTTTCCATGTTTGACTCTCTTTCCTAGTGCTCATCATGCCCGGGCTATTCTGCCTAGTTGCATGAGCTTCCAGGGCCTCATTCTCATGCTGGTTCCTCCAAGCTCATGCCCTTCTTGATGTTCTTAAGACAGGTTCAGTCCCCTTTCTGGACTTGTTTTCCTTTTTACTGATGATGTTCAAATCCAGGTCACTTTACTACGCAAGTGTGAAGAGCAAGGAAGCAAAACTCTGTGCTGCTTGAATAAAGTCAAGCTGGTAAGTCCAGCGATACCTCGGCTACAGCAGGAAACTCTCAGGAGAAGAGTAACTTCTTGGTGATAGTTTCTGTTTTTAGACTGCCTGTGTTATTAATGTACTGCTCTCCTGGGAGATGTATGTAAGCAGAAATTCAGACACCTGATACTTGCCAAACATAGTTTCCGTAGCAAATGGGCGGACGTGCTGTGTCACGGGTTACAGCCCCGTCCTGGCAGGCAGTTCGTGTTCTTGCCTCCCCCGTCGCTCTGTTCATTCAGCTTGGGCACAGGAGGCCTCTTGCCCGCTGCCGTTGCAGGGCAGGCTGTGAAGTGTTTTTGCCTGGATGGGTGTGTGCTGGGGACTTGGTTTGAAGACACACCTTGAAAGCTCTCTGACCTTTCATGAGTGACTTACTGGGGCTGGTTTATTGAGCCCCTCTGCATGTAGCACCATTATCAAGCTTCGGGATCACCTAGATGCCACTTAGGAGCATCTGCTCATTTATTCCTAATTTATGCTGATTTCTCCATTTGGCAGGATTGGAAGTTGGATTTAGGAATGTCCAGCTTTTCCCAGCACTGGAAGTAAAAAGGGAATGGAGGGAGGAGGAAAAGCAAATCTGGCTGAAAAAACAGGAGAGAAAGAAGGCAACCATGGAGCATATGCTCAGCTCCAGAGGAAGAGGTGTTGGTGGACGTGGCAGTGTTAAACTGTGGTCAGAATTACACATGTGGGCTGGTGCTTTCGCATTTGTTTTGCCTGGTAGGTGTGCGAGGACTGTGGTCGCGGCCACGCGGAGCTTTGGGCCGTGCTGGGAGCAGGGTGCGTGTGCCCGGGCGGTGCGCGGGAGGAGAGCAGGCCGGGCCAGGGCCGCGACTCCTGGGACACACTTGCCCGCGACCAGCCCGTTGGGTTGCTCATCCGGCTCCCAGGATGGCGGCGGCCCTGATGAGCCAGTCTGGGCCCGAACGGCTCGTGGCACGAGGAGGGCTTCGCGCGCGGCTCCACATGGCGCCGTCCTGGTCTGCTGAAGCAAAGCACCGGCGAGGGCAGAGGACAGCTCTGGCAAATCCCTCCCCTCCTGCTTTCCAACAGCGCAGAGGTAGCATCGGGCTCTTGCTTTGCCTAGGCAAATCCCCGTCCTGGCCCCGGTGTCGCAGGTGAATGCGTGCCAGGAACGTGGGGGACGTGATTGCTGTTAGATAATGTGTTCCAGGAATAGCCACAGCCCTCTCCTTGGACCAGGCTGCTGTCCAAGATGCTGCTCAAGCACAGCCTGGCCCCAGAGTTTACAGTTTAATGCACAGGCTCTTAATGAAAGCCCTGCTTTAGTGCAACCAGCTTGGCTGTGAGTGGCTTCTTAATGCAGCTCAGTGTGGTGCAAAATGCAGAGGTGGAAATGGGGTATGCAGCAGCAAAGTGCTTTCTGAGGGGCAGGAAAAACAAGTAAAGGAAGTGCTTCCAAGTGGAATTTAGGAAGGGATGCAGCTAGTTAACTGAGTAGAGAGCGGGAGCAGTGGAGGAGATGCAGCACAGCGCTGGGGTGGGTTTCTGTCCCTTGTCACTATGGTAGCTCATTGAGCTGCTAGATGGCAGGCGGCACCACAGGCAGGGTGCACAGACACGGGAAACCTGGGACATAAAGCTGGAACACGACTAGGAGCGTGTGTGTTTGGCTGTCCCCTCACATAACGTCCTTGGGGGCTGCTTCCAGCTCTTGTGACGGTTGGGGCTCTCTCTGCAGGTGGGCAGCGAGTGGCAGCGCGAGGGCATGAGGGGATGTGCAGCAGGGCTGGTTTGTGGTTGGGTGCTGAAGTGAGGGGAGCGGGGAGCTGTCTGGAGCCGGGCAGAGAGGGCAGGCTGGGGCAGTGCGTAACCTCGGAGCTCCTGTCGCAGCCCAGGAAGCAGCACAGGAGGACAGTATTTGGAAAGGCTGGTCAGGATCACTAAAGAGCAAAGATTCACAATGTGAGAGGACGCGAGGCCCAGCTCCAGCAGAGACAGAGGTGGTGACCGCTGCAAATTGGGACTGGTTAGAAGATAAAAACTGTGTTTCTGCATCTCCTTCTGTTTGCAGAGTCACTCTGAGAGTGCCTTTTTCTGCCCACCCTGCCTGGAGTCTGCACTTGGATGCCCTGGTTTGGTCCCTGCCTCAACAAAGTGTTTGGACACGATGAGCTGGTGCCTGCATGTCCTACAAGCTGAAAGATCTGGCAGTGCGTGCAGTGCTGCTGCCAGGGCTTAGGCAATTGCAAAGTTGATTTTGTTTTTTTTTTTTATTTTGCACTTCCTTAGCTGTGGGTAAGTGCTTGGTGAGTGGGACAGATGTGGAGATCAGGCTGCTTGCTCCTCAACTCGGCATTGCTGCGGGTTCCCTGCCGTGCAGGCACAAGCCCTCAGCTTGCGTGTGCTCTGCTCCCTTTGAAAGGGGCAGGGAGGAGAAGTCGCTCTGTGGTGGTGGCTCCACGTGCAGCAGCGTTTCCAGAGTGAAGGCAGCTCCTCGCTGGGGGCACTCGGGATTGGCGAACGCTCCTCGAACACTCCAGCAGTGTGGCCGTGGCTGAGGGATTTTTACCTCTGGTGATGTGAGAGCTGGAAAGGCCCCAGCAAGACTGGGAGATGTTGGGCTGAGTTTGCCTGTGTGACCACTGGAAATGCAGGGCAGCTCTCTAAGGCTTTTGCCTCGGCTGTCCCACGTAAATATGTGGTTTGCTGTTCATTAAACAGGCAGCACTTAAAGCACGTTCTGCTGAGTTGTGTCCTGCAAAACAAACTGTCCACATAAAATGCAACTGTTGTTGTGCTTTGAGTGGGCTTAAAGGAGCTGTAAGTGCAGAGTATTAGTGTTGGAGGCCGAACAGTTCCTAGGGCAAACCCACTGTCAGGGTGGTTGCGTTGGATAAATCAGAGTCCTGCTCTTTATCCTGAGAACTACTGGCTCAGCCTTTTGTCCCCTTCACTCATAATTTTACGAGATGAAATCCTGCCATGTTAATGTATAGTATAGACCTAACCGGTTGGTTGTTAAGAACTATTTGAAGCCAATGCTCTGATCAGTCAATTTTGAGGGGGCTGCCAGTATTTTCACTGCGTTGGTTGTCCGGCACCAGCCCACCCGCTGCGTTCAGTGAGAGCTTTCATTAATTTCAGTGGAAATCTGCATGGGGGGCGAAGGGTGACCTAATCTTTAAAAAGGATCTTAATCCATTTACTTAGCCTGTCTTGCACCGCTCAGCGTTTTTTCCTTGTCAAGAGCAGACTGCATTCCTAACCTTGATGTGTCACTTTCCAGTTGGTTTAATATTTGGGTGAGAGTAAAAAGGGAATGTTTTTCAAAGATTAAAGGAATCCATGCTGATACAGTATGTGAGTGTGCGATGTGCACGTAGGAAATGAGGAGGTGAGTAGAAGTGTTTTGATGGCGGAAGATGAAATAAAAACAGAAGCTGACTAAACAAAGCAAGATCAGGAAGGGATTCAATCCTTCTAAAGGGGTGTAAGTGGGTTATTATGAGGGAGGAGGAAATGGGGCTGAAATGCAAGATAAAAATAGGACTCCTGTTGGTTTGACCTGTAGATGTCCTTGCAGAGGCCCAAGGACAGCCAGGGAAGACAGGGGCACGTATAGCTGTGACCAAAAATAGAGAGACCCAGTGCCTGCATCTAGCTCGCAGTAGACGCCCTTCATCCTCGAGGCCGCTGCATTCGGTGTAGTCCTGCTCGGAAGGGACGTAACCTGCACACTGTGCGGGGACTCTGGGCAGGCCCCAGGGTCACTAAAGAAAGATGCCACAAGCGGCACTAAGTGGTGGCTCCCAGGACCTCAGTGCCAATGGAAACCTCAACTCAAACTCGGTTCGCACCACATCAGGGCTACCTGCTCTGAACGATGTTCTGCCCTGGGTGGCCACGGGGCTGCACGAACAGACGCACATGTGGGCGCTGCAGTGCAAAGCCATTTGCTCCTTCAATCAAAGCCTACTCTTGGATTTTCTTCTCTGTTTGGTGGCCAAAGCGAGACCCACGTGCCTCCCCATGGGCGTTAAGTGGGTCAGTGGGTTGTCCTCCTTGTGGCAGCTCTCACGTGGGAAGCGCTGCGCGCAACCTGGGATGCAAAACGCAGAGGTAGCTGTGCGGGAGTGCTGCAGGCTGAGCTGAGAGCACCGCGCGTGTAGGACTCTGACAGCTTTCTCTTGCAAAAGGAATAATGAGGAATTCTTAAATGTAATGCTGATCCAAAGTAGCTAGTGCTCCATTTTGATTGTTTACTTTCCTGCAGTCTCCTGTAGGACACAAAGCTCATTCCCTGTTTTACCCATAAGTGAGGGGTAGAGAAGGTGAGTCACAAGCGGGGCGAGCATTGCTCAGGACTGCAGTACTCGGACCTTGCTTTCTGTCGATCCATGTCATTTACCTTTGTGCATGGAGCAATCCAGCCTTTTCCTTAGCACCAAATATGTCTGGGTGATGTGTGGGTGAGATATAAGTGCTGGGAGATGGCAGTGGGAGAGAGCCAATGTTATATAGCATCAGGTGAAGTTTTGCTGCCCTTTATCCATGCGAGTTCTCCACTTGGGACAGGCACAGAAAGGAAAGTAAGTCAGCATGGCAGCAGGCTGCCTCTGGGAAAGCAAGCAAGGCGCAGCCAGGGTTTGACCTCACTCTGCTGTCACAGGCAGTGATGCTGCTAAAACGTCATTCACAAATGGATACATCTCACCTGGGAGCACCCAGACCCTCTGAATCCTTCGCAGACTTTGTGCAAAAGACCCTTGAGGGAAAAGCCGGTCTCTTAAGCATGGTGAATGTTTCTCCTGAGATAAAACAGCCTCGCTGCCTCCCATCCCATCTCGCTGCCTTTCACTGGTCCTGCCGTACTGATGTGTTCTTCTTCAGAAGAGGAGGATGCTTTTACATGAAATCCAGAGTATCCATAGGTTCTTTTTATTGTCCTTATTATAAACACAGCTTCCTGTGCCCTAACTACCGCTGTCCATATGCTGATCTCCTGGCTCACTTGCAAGTGGATCGTGTTTTCTTGCACATGTGAAGTCACATGGCTGCTCATGACAACTAGCCCGTTTCTCAGCGAGCGGGGAGAAGCGTCTCCCTGACAGAGCAGCGTCACCTCGGAGGACAGACGTTCTGGCCTCCCTGCCTGCGCTGCTCCTGCCCGTGGTGGGGGCTCTGTGCCAGACAGGTAAGTAAGTGCAGATTTAGGTATGTTATTCATATGGGTGATGCCAACTGCTGTTAAACTACTAATAAAGCCCTTGTTAAACACTCTGTGGTGACAGTAAGAGCTCTGCTAGTGGAGATACTACTGCCCCTTCAAATCGCTGTGTGAGCGTCAGCAGTGCCAGATTTGGAGAGTCCTTTCTGCATCCACAGGGGTATGAATCCCCCAGGACTGATGTACGGATATAGAAATAGCTTGTTCAGTTACCTAATGGTAGCTTTGGAGAAACTGAGATATTGACATAGACCTGATTCTGCAAGAAAACTTGAATGGCTCTTTCAGAGATGGCGCTAAAACTAGTGCAATTTGAAGTACCTGTGCAAGGTGATGCACTGCACAGTATAATCAAGAGGAGCCAACTTTGGGTGGATTTAGAGGAAAGTGAGATGATGTGTAAAACACAAAATACTTTTGCTTACTAGATTTTTTCATCAGAGACGGGTGAAGTATTTGGAATGCTATATGCACTATCAAAAAACATTAAGAAGCCTAAAGGGAAAATTATCAGAACGATGCCTTATCTATCTACTGTTTGAAGAACCCCTCCCAGTTATAATCTATTTTTTTTACATTATTTACTAATGAAAAATGAGCTTATGTTGGTTGGTCTGCTTCTATTAAACTGTTAGGCTGGTCCCATCCTTGTAACTTCTCAACATTTAAGGAGGAGGAAAAAAAAATCTGAGGCTTCATGAGAAGGGACCCTCAGA